CCCTGCCACTTCCCGGCTGGAAAATTGTCCCGGTGCCTGACGCGACGCTCCTTGGAGCGACCTCACGCCGCTGCCCCGAGCTTTGGCTGCCCACTTAAACCCCAGGGACGTCGGCTGCGGAAAATTGTCCCGGTGCCTGACGCGACGCTCCTTGGAGCGACCTCACGCCGCTGCCCCGAGCTTTGGCTGCCCACTTAAACCCCAGGGACGTCGGCTGCAGAAGGGGAACTTCTGCTTTTCCCCAGGGGAAGGGGAACAGGTTTGCAAGCCCCTCACATCTTCCGTCTCAGAGCTCAGGCCGATGAAAACACCTGGTTTCCCTAGGGATAAACCCACGGGACTTCCTGGTAAAGCAGCTCCAGCTCTTCCAAAGCGGACGCTCCTAACCCTTCTCCCCGCTCCACATCCTGCCGGCCAACCCCTCCACGCTGGCACTTGGCTCCCCGCTACTCGCTCAGGTGACACTGGGGACATCCTCGACCCCAGCCCCACGGGGCAGAAACGGGGGCACGAAAATAAACCTGTGTGCAAAGTGCATGCGTAGCTCATAAAAACACAAATGCATGAAAGCAACCATAACGAAACAGAAACGGAGGCATGAAAATATAACTGTGCGCAAAGCGCATGCATAGCTTATAAAAACAAAAACACAAATCTATAAATGTAACCACATACGAAACAGAAAGAGGCATAAAAAAAGCACGTGGAAAGTGTACATGTAGCACCTTATAAAAACAAGAATACACATATAAAAGTAAAAACGCATAAATAGTAAAACGTATAAACGTATAAAACATGTAAGCTTATATATATATGTGTGTGTAGATATGTATAAGCACAAACTTTTAGAGAGAGCCACACGCTCCACCCCGCCCCACGGCGCAGCCATTACGCGCACAAGTCCTCCCCTGTCACCGGTCGGGGTCCTGATACCGGTCCCGGTTCCCGGTCCCGATTCCCGGTCTCGGTCGCGATTCCGGATCCCGGTCGCGATTCCCGGTCCCGGGTCCCGGTCCCGGTCCCCCCGTCCCCCGCGCACCTCAGCCCCGTCTCGTC